CTGGTGTGTCTGGGTCCTTGAGCCTAGTGGCGAAAGCACGGCTCAAGCTGCTCCTTTACATTTCAGCTGTGTGGAAACACTGGGTTCCTACTTGGCAGTAATGTTTAACAAAATCAGAGTACCGTCCTCACTCTCCAGAGTGGCCCGCTGGGCCGTTACGGCTCGAATCTCGTAAATCCCCACGCTGCGGGGCTGGAACTTGGTGCCCGACCGAACCGTGGGGCGTCGCCACACCCTCTCGCCAGTCACCCAATCTCGCTTGAGATGGCCGCGGTCGTACAACTCTGCACGACTCGGTCATGGCGAGGTACCGGGCCAGAGTGGACTCAATGGTCTCGAAATTGCGAAACACATTCTTCGCCCACTCATCCACGGGCAGTTGACCCGGTGCCGGGAACGGAACAAGCTCACGTTCCATGTGGTCTCGCAGCGACCACGCCCGATCCAAGTCCCTTGGGACCAACCCGCTTTCAAGAATGGGAGTGTTCATCATGATGTAGTGAACCAACGGGAGCACATGGGCCCACTCGGAGGCGCACGCCTTGTGAACGTCTTGCAAAAGCGACGCTATGAGGGAGTTCATCGAGTGATGAACCGTCTCCCCCATGCCCACCGTCATCGGCCTCCTGTCTGCCCAAAAGCACGGTCATCTCCTGGAAGAGGGCGTTCGTAAACTCCGGACCAAATGCCGCCAAACCGCTGGCTGGTATCGTAAGGCTCCGCAGCACGCAGGTCATAACGGCCTGCATGGCGTCACCTCGTTTGAGGGACCGGCATGGCTCGAGTATCGGTACTCGGAGCAGCTTGCACGTATACGTGCAAATGTACCGGCACCCGTCGGGTTCGACTTAATTACCGGTGAAGTCAACGTAGATATCCATCGACGGACCTAGAGTGTGTTGTTCAAGTTTCGGGTCCATTGGCAGAGGCATGCCCGTCCGTCGGTGCTGCACGCACCGGTCGCAAGACCCCACCCAAAACTCACAGTCGGGTAGCACGCGATCCCAGACGACACACCTGCCAAGCTTATCGAAGGTTTTAGAGGCGTTGAGGTGCCCGGCCAACGGCGAATCATGAGCCCATTGGAACGCCCACTGCCGCCAGCGACTGGCACCTCCGGGAGATGGACTCTGCGACACAAAAAGCCCTGCGGGCTAAGAGTGTGCTTGCCCGCGGTCGTTCGCAGCCGGACCTCGTCCCGTGCTGAAACCTTCGCAGCTCCAGGCTGACCCTTGCACAGGTAGTTGCGGATTTCCCACGTGCGTGTCGTGGTCCATCTGATCTCGAAGCAACTGCTCCGGACCTCTACCCTCTCTCCAGGCTTAAATGGAAACTAAAAGGACCATCGCTTGGCGCATCCGCACCCGTCTGACCCCACAGCTCCTTGATGACCCAGTTGGGCCTCTCACCAGCACGGTGGAAAAGGTTTTTGAGGAGAAACGGCTTCTCGTAACCCATGGACCGCTTTAAGGCAAGCTCCTTATAGAACTACCCTTGAGGCGACTCCACGAGTCTTCTTCCTCATCATCAATGAGGCGCTCTTCAAAACTGAGCGAAAGCTCACCCAAGGCCATACAGCGGCCGGCTTCTCAGCGCGCAACGCGGGGCACGGCCCGCAGACTATGTCTGAATGGGCTACACCGCCCTCCGATTTCGGAAGACATGTCAAACGCAAGGGCCCTCCGGCGATGCAGCTGTGCTTTCTTGCCGCAAACCACACAAAAGGTGAGGCCTTCATCCTCCAACCGCTTAGGATAAGCTGAGTAGAGGTTGTCTCGAAACGGTATCGCTTCGGAAAGGCTCGGAAGTCGCACGAATCCAAGCACCTCTCCGAGACCGTTCCAGAAGGACACGGACCTCTGCTGACCTTGCTTCGGGGCCACTAAAACACCAGGTCTCAGCTTACGCTGAGGCTCAAACGCCTCCGGAACGGCCTGACATAGCAGAGCCACGTCGGCGTACGTCCCTTGAATGGAGGGCTCGATTTCAAGCAAAGCCTTCGAGCGCGACCCAAGTGTTGCGAGCGTCCGTAAGCTCAACCTCCGTAGAAACGCGTCCACGGAGGCAGCCTCCACAACAGGAGTTTCAAGTCTCCTGGCTGGAAGCCCTCACGGAGCTCAACGCAGCCGGGGTGTACAAGTGCCAGAAGGACCTGCTCTATGATTACCTTCTTCAGATCGGGTCTTTCCTCCGTGACGAAGTGTCACGAGACCGGCGCTTTTGGGCGTTGAGGCCATTCCCAGGCGTTAAGCAGGAGTTCCGAGGCGTGGAGAACTGGTCTGAGGCCTCGCTTGTGGCGCGTCAAATTACCCTTCGCAAGGACGCTAATAAGGCTTTGGAGTGTGTTTACGCCTCTTTCGGAGGCCGTGCTTATGCGGTGTAGTCCGCACAGCAGCGGGCCTAAGCCTGATCATTGCTGGCTATAGGTTAACTTTCTGCGCCCATTCAGGTCAGCTTCTGGAGCGCTGCTTTGCTCCCACGGAGTTCCTCGAGTTCACTGTGACCCGACGGATACTCTGACCGTGTTCATACACGAGGATCTGAAGAAGGCCAGCTCCTTCGCGGAGTTGCAACTCGCGGAGCTCGGTTTTGACCTGGAGGGCGACCGATGCGGACCCAATCGGGTAGCAGAGGGGTATCTTATCGATATATGCCGAGGGAGCGAGCCTGGGGATTGTTCCCCAGACTACTTGCGCCACTTGGTGGAGGACGAGGCCTTTGTGGACTCGATCTTGAATGATGAGGTGCCGACGGAGGCGTACTATCAGGCCTACCGTGCCTTCTTGCACGAGGAGTTCCCGCAGGCCTCGGTTAAGTCCCTGGGTGAGATTGTCGGACGACAGGGCGAAAGCCCAAGTGGGGCCCAATCGGGTCACTCAAAAAGCTTCAGGAGTTCCTGGGGACTGCGAACTACAGTCGCGATCAGATCGGGCCGAAGTTTGCCGTTGCCATGGGATCCGCTCCGGCGCTATCTGCACGAGGGTGACAAGGCGTTTCCGATGCATGACGCCGCGGGGACTGGAAGCCGTCGAGCGGCTGAAACGCTTGATGCGCAAGGCTACTTGTCTGGCTGTACCGGATGAGCGAGCGGCTCCTTACGAGCAGCTCGCGGATTGATGCAAGGCCGGATTGGGGGGTGCGCGCTTCCAGATGTCCGCGGACCTGCGCCGGTGGAACCCGCTGGCTTACCATGCGGAGTCGCTCTCAGCAGTGCAGACGCTCTGGCACCCCTTCAGGCAAGAGCAGCACGCTCAGCTGAAGTGTCGGCGAAAGTTTCGGTCCCTCTTTGGATCGATACCATGTACACCGATCGCGCCAACATATAGTCCGTTTGCAAGACAAACCACTGGATCAAATCGACCCGGTGAGCTTCCGGACCTGTTCCGAGCTGACTGCCGATGGCAGCGAAATTCGGAACCTTTCACGCAGGCCGAAGCATGAAACTTGCCGATGGGCTGAGCAGGCTGTTTGAAACCCCGGGGATTCCAGCCGAGCAAGAGCAGGAGATGCTCCGGCGTCTCGAGCTTCGGACCACAAGGAGCTTGAGACAGCGCATTCGCGCCTTCGTGACCCCGACTGCGATGATTTCTTGGAGTTTCCGGAGCCTGAGCCCGAGCCCAAGAAGGTTTTCGCGGCTGATGTTGCGAGGGGTCAGGAGCTCGTCTCTGAGCAGGTGCAGACGGCGGCCGAGGGAAGTGGAGTGCTCCACCCCCCGGTGCCTGTGCTGTATGCGCCGGCCTACCAGTCGACGCCTGATGTGTCGGTTCAGGTGGGACTCGTTGAGGATGGATTGCGAACGGCAAGGGTCAGTTATAACTCCGTGGTGATTCCTAGTGCCGCGCCATTCGCTGACGACGATAACTTCGCGTGTTGGATGGAGGTCCGAGCCCGGCAGATGTCGGAGTCGGTGCGCAGCTGCGCAAGGTCTATCGGCGCCGCCCGAGGATGTTGATAGGGGCCAGCAGGGAGCCTTGATCGTTCTCCTCAGCGCGCTTCCAGTCGAAACTTTGTGGCCTTCTTCTCGAGGTTGTCGTACCTGGCGCGGGCCTTCATGCTTCGTCGCTCTCGTGAAAGGAGGCGTCAAGCGCCGCCACCAAACGGTCAAACACCGAAGCAGGTTTGGCCTCGTAGTCCCCGTTACTCTTGGCCTCCTTGATAATCGTATCGTAGCAACGCCGCCGCACACCCTTCAAGCTCCGCGCAAACAGAAGCAGCTTCTCGCGATCACCCTTCGGCTTGACAACCAAGCATACGTCGTGGAACGCCTCGAAGTGCTTGTCCAGGTCCGAGTCACCATCGCCAAACACGGGAAGGTCATCCCGGAGGCTGTAGGTGAAAACCGACTTTTCCTCGCGCATGGACTTGAGCTGCTCAGCGCGTTCCTTCGCATCTTGCTCGCGCTGACGCCTCATCTCCTGGACAATGGCCAGGAGTGATTCCCGGTAGAAGCCAGGTCGAAGTGCTGAGCACCGGGAGGTGGGGCCTCGCTCCCAACCCGCCGTACAGCCCGCCGGTGCACCAACAGGCTCGCGGCTGCGTCTCCTGGACTTAGGCTCCTCAAAGTGATCGGGCCCGCTCCGCCGGCCTCGGCATAGAAGTCCGGTACATGAGGCGCATCGTCATCAGGTCCCTTCGTTGAAACCTCGACGGCGACAGCCCACAGTTCCCCCGCACCAGTCGTGAGAGGAACGGACTGAAGCTGCAGAGCTCGCAGGAAGGCTACGAGCATCGTCGGCGGCCTCGGCCTTCTCCCGAAGGGATTGGAGCCGAGCCTGCGCACGACCCGAACGTCGGTCCCACCAGCCTCTACGTAAGCCTCCGCGGCACCTTTGTATACCGGTAGTACACTGCCACGGGTTCGGCGCCCGGCATCTGAAGCAGCTTGGTGATGCCAGCGCCAACGGCGCGGAGGACATGGTCCGGACCATCGGGGCGCGCGGCCGCCGGTGTCGTTCGGCATAAGTTGCTGAACCGAGCGTACACCGTCTGGAACTGCGCTTCTCCAAGACAGCTCTCGGCTAAGGAGATGGCTTCGTCCCTGCAGTCCAGACGGGCCATTTCCACTCCTTGTTGGAGTCGCACCTCACATACTCCTCGAGGCCTCCGCCTCGGGATCAAAGGGACTTAAAAAGGAGGTCTTCAGCTCCGCCAACGTGGCTCCCTCTTCGGGGTCCTCAGCCACGGGGCTCGGCGCACCGAATTCCTCGAAGCGATTCGCGTGATGACGCGGCAGGCCGCACAGCGCGCTGTTCTCGGTCACCACGACCGGTCCTGCTCGACGCGGCCACTGAGGGTCCGGTCGGCAAAGTTGGACGCCTCCAAACGCTGTGAAGCCACCTGGGAGTGTGCGCTGCCGTACACAGAGGGCTCCACCCTATGGCGCAGCTCAGCCGCCTCGCCAGTGATCACTGCAAGGCCTCGCGCTTTGAGTTCCTTAAGGAAGGAACCGACCTCAGGTACTGGCGGGCTTCCAGAGCGATCCGCTCCTTCTCCTTTTTGGAGGGCGGACCGGAGACAGCAGTCTCGGTCTTGCGGCGCGCCTTTCTCCAGCGTCCAACGATAAAGACCGCGGACGGGAGGGCGCTGCACCGTATAACCATGTCGCGGCATCATTGTTCCTATTTCCCAGAACAGCCTCCAACTGAAGGAAGCGTAGAGTACGCGACCTTAAACTAACTAAAAAGGGGAACAAGGAACAAGGCCGGGGAAGGCTTAGTCGACGTACCCAGAAAACCAGCAAAGCAAGCGCAGCGACTTTTCCAGCAGCAGGCGGAAGTCGGCAGTGCAGGCTCGTGCCACGGCGGGGCACGGCCTCAACCAAGGGCTCGCAACTAGCGCCAGTCGCAATGCACAGGCACCGGTAGTTGCTACCTTATTGGTATGGCGCTATAGCGCTGCTAAACTAACGGACACACCTCACCGCGAGGTGGGCTTGAGCTGCAACGGCGACTGGCAAAACAGACTGCGTGGATCTTATACTGCTACCACACTCCCCGCACGAACCTTCGCGAAGCTCACTGATCTGCAACCAAAGCATGCGAGTGCACAACGAACATGTTTTGCGCTCTGGCATGGGGTCGAGCGAATCGTCAGAAAACGAGCAAAGCATCCGACCGACCCGACACCCCACACGAGCGAACGAGCTCCGCGGCAACTTTGTACCGGTAGTACACTGCTACGGGGTCGGCGCCCGGCATCTGAAGCAGCTTGGTGATGCCAGCGCCAATGGCGCGGAGGACATGGTCCGGACCATCGGGGCGCGCGGCCGCCGGTGTCGTTGAGCGTACACCGTCTGGAACGGCGCTTCTCCAAGACAGCTCTCGGCTAAGGAGATGGCTTCGTCCCTGCAGTCCAGACGGGCCATTTCCACTCCTTGTTGGAGTCGCACCTCACATACTCCTCGAGGCTCTCCGCCTCGGGATCAAAGGGACTTAAAAAGGAGGTCTTCAGCTCCACCAACGTGGCTCCCTCTTCGGGGTCCTCAGCCACGGGGCTCGGCGCACCAGTGCACCTCCCTGAATTCCTCGAAGCTTCGCGTGATGACGCGGAAGGCCGCGCAGCAGGCTGCCCTCGGTCACCACGACCGGTCCTGCTCGACGCGGTCACTGAGGGTCCGGTCCGCAAAGTAGTGAAGCCACCTGGGAGTGGGCGCTGCCGTACACAGAGGACTCCACGCCTCGAAAGTGGTCACTGAAAGGCCTCGCGCCTTGAGTTCCTTAAGGAAGGTCCCGTAACGCTTGTTACCAACCGACCTCAGGTACTGGCGGGCTTCCAGAGCGATCCGCTCCTTCTCCTTTTTGGAGGGCGGACCGGAGACAGCAGTCTCGGTCTTGCGGCGCCTTTCTCCAGCGTCCAACGATAAAGACCGCGGACGGGAGGGCGCTGCACCGTAACCATGTCGCGGCATCATTGTTCCTATTTCCCAGAACAGCCCCCAACTGAAGGAAGCGTAAAATACGCGACCTTAAACTAAGTAAAAAGGGGAACAAGGAACAAGGCCGGGGAAGGCTTAGTCGACGTACCCAGAAAACCAGCAAAGCAAGCGCAGCGACTTTTCCAGCAGCTGGCGGAAGTCGGCAGTGCAGGCTCGTGCCACGGCGGGGCACGGCCTCAACCAAGGGCTCGCAACTAGTGCCAGTCGCAATGCACAGGCACCGGTAGTTACTACCTTATTGGTATGGCGCTATAGC